TCAGGATTGGGTCTTTAAATTTAGGGCCCCTAGTGTTTTTTAGTTCTTTATAAATACTAGAGAGCAGACCTTTGTCTGAGTGCTTATTAGTCAAGATTTTTTTCCAAAATTGTGCGTTGTCTTCTCACTTTGTTGGTAATTTCTTTTGATGTGCAAAAACTTCTCAACAAGAGGAGATCCCAGTTGTTTATTCTTTCAAGTGTTACCTGTGCGATTTGATTTTTGTTCATGAACTCTTTGCCTATCCTATGTCTTCAAGAGTTCTTCCTACTTTCTCTTCAGGAGATTTAGTGTTTCTGTTTTAATGTTTGGATCTTTAATCCATTTTGACTTTAGCTTAGTGCATGGTGATAGACCTGGGTCAAGTTTTAATTTTCAGCATGTAGAGAGCCAATTTTTCCAGCACCATTTGTTAAAGAGGCTATCTTTTTTCCAGTAAGTGTGTTTGGCCCCTTTGTCAAAGATTAGATGGCTGAGTACGTTCGTAGTGGCTTCTGCATCTTCTAATCTACTCCATTGATCCTCAGGTCTTTTGATGCCAGTACCAGCCTGATTTTATCACAGTGCCTTTGTGGTATAATTTCAAGTCAGGAATTGTAATGCCTCCTTCCTTGTCTTTGTTGCCCAGGATAGCCTTTCCTATTCTAGGTATTTTCTGGTTCCAAATAAATTTTAGGAATGATTTTTTTAGCTCTGTGAGGTATGTTGGTGGTAGATTGATAGGGATTGCATTAAATCTGTGTGGCAATTTTGGGAGTATCGCCATCTTCACAATGTTGGTTCTTCCTATCCAGGAGCAGGGAATATCTTTCTATTTTTTGAAATCCCCTACAACCTCTTTTTTTCAGAGTATTGTAATTTTCCTTGAAAAGATCTTTGACTTCCTTAGGTTAATTCCAAGATACTTCATTTTCTGCGGTACTATTGTAAAAGATATTGTTTCTCTAATTTCCTTCTCGGTGTGTTTGTTACCTGTGTAGAGAAATGCTATTGACTTTTGGGTATTGACTTTGTATCCTGCTATGCTACTGAATTTGTATACCAATTCTAGTAGCTTCTTGGTGGAGTTTTTTGGATAT